GCTTTGGGGTTGGCAGCACAATTCCTTATTCACTAGGCCACCAGAGGTGTCAGCAGGGTTGAGCTCTCTCTGAAGGTTCTAAGGAGATCCTTCTTGCCTATTACTGAAGTTGGGCTGTTCATCTTGCTGTTATGTACCATCAAGACAGAACCAATACACAGCTAACCCTCCAGCAGTTTTTCAGAAAATCACATCAGAGGAGATTGCCCACCTTTCTCTTGTGGAACAGCTGGTGATTTTGAACTGCGTACTTTCGGGGTGGGAAATTTAAAAAAAATTTTAGTGTTCCTTGGGCTTTGGCAGCAGCATCCTAATTTATTTCTCCATTTTCACAAGACCATTTTTCTTGTGTGTGTCTGTGTATTCTCCTCTCTTATAACCTATTCTTTGTTATAACCTTTTCTTCTAAGAGAGAGGTCTGGTTGCCTAATAGGTAGCAAGTTGCACTGCCAATCCAAACCTTCTCTGCAGGAGAAAGATGAGCAATCTCTTGTCACTTGACTTATAATCCTGACATCTCCTGGAAGATCCACTATGAGTCAGTTTCAAATTGATGGCTTTTTGTTTGTTTGTTTTTGTTTTTATTTTTTTTATCTTTGTAAAAACACAGTCACCAGGTTTAAAGCTCACTCCCCAATTCAGTATAGGCAATTACACCTGCAGTGACCATATTTCCAAGTAGGACCATATCCAGAGGTTACAGTAGACACAAATTTTGAGGGGATACTATTCAATACAATAGAAAATCATTATATAAATTTGGAATTTTAAGGCTGAAAGTAGAAGACAATCAATAGCATCATTCCATTTTAGGTGAGAATGGAAAAAAATTAGTAACAGACAATTTAGAGTTTAAACAGTGGATTGATATCCTCAGATAATTTTGTATTCTACTCCCAGATCCATGCAAGTTAGTATGCTAACTCAAACTTGGTACATTTCTGAAAACACATACAAAAGTCATTTGTGCAAAAATTTCATAATAATGGATTTATATGTCAAAGTAAAAAATATTCTCAAATCATTGCTTATACTTTGTCTTTAAACAAAATTTTCAGTAGTGAATTCCTAGTATTTCTTGCATTCTTTACTTTATTCTTCTCTAGACCAAGTGAAAATAAGTTAACTGGTTTAAATTCAGTAAGTGTTTGATGCAGGCTAAGTATTTGCCGCTTTTATTCAATTATTATTTCCATCTTAGTCAAAGACGCTTTTACTTAAACCTGTGTTTCTTATCACCACTCTCAGCACATCTATTTTTGTTCTTACTAACTTTTATGAACTACAAGAGAAAAAGAATGTGATTTGAAAATCCAAACATCCTCTAGAGAATACCAGCACTATTGTACGGAGAAAGATAGAGCAGCAAAATACAATTGTTGGCAGATAATGGCCCAGGGTGGTAAGCTGGCATAGTTATTTGTCAGGATATGCATGAAAGTACAAATTAAGAGTGGAAAGGCAAGATAGAGTGTCAATGAATAAAAAAGCATTACTTTTCAGTGAAGTTCTAATTCTCTGGCTGCCATTTATGGTAAATATTTTATAGATCAAGTTGCAGATCTCAAAGTGTTGTCTAATAAGTAACATGAGACTCCTTTTTCCCCATTAATTGTGTGCATCAGTCAGCATAGGTGAAGTTACACTGCAGCAACAAGAAACCCATAAAATCTTAGTAACATTAAGCAACAAAAGCTTATTTCTCTCTTAGGCTACATGACCATCATGCAACAGCATGGGATCCTCAGAAGCGAGACCCAAACCAGACTATTATTGCCAAGTTAATGTCAACTTATCATAACCCAGTGTGTTACACAGAATAAGTATTTCTTAGCTGTTATCTTTATAGAACCAGTGAATAATCAATTTTTAGATCAGAAAAACTTATGAAAATCCACTGCTACAAAATCAATTCTCCTAATAACCCTCCACTCCAATTCTGAGGCTGTGAATCTTAACAGGGAGACTATTTGTCTTCCTGCTGCAGAACATCTGGTGGATTTAAACCACTGAGCCTTCAGTTAGTAGTATGACATACAGCTGCTAGCTCCAAGCTATTTGCACCACCTAAGAATGCATTGTCTTTAACCAGTGACAAAGAGAAAGAGTTCCTGGTGCCTTTACACTGCTGAGCAAGGTGCATGTCCCCTCTGCTCATTGTCCAGAACATGGTCCAACTAACCATCAGCAGGTTAGAAAGAGCAATTCTACTGCATACCTCAACAGTGGAAGTCAGGGATACTTTGTATGCAGCACCAATAACCACCAAATTGTGTGGTAATGGTGCAGAGGGGTGTTATCATGTATTTGATACTCCCATCTACCTTCATAATCTGCTAAGATATTTTCTGGGTTGTTTTTCATTGTTTGTTGATTGGTTTGGTTTGGTTTTTCTCTACCCACAGGAAGACTGACCCAGTCCCAGAGATGACCACTCCTGAGAAATTGTACTCCAAGGTCATGCAGACTCTGAAATATCTCGATTCCCGCCTGCCTAATGGCAGCCATGTTATTTTCTACGGTTTAGCAGATGGAACGTTTCTCTGGGATCACTTGAACAACAGATATCATCCTCTCGGTATCAGTTTGAAGACTATTTTACCCTTTACCAACCTAACTGTATAAATAGCTCAGTGTATTCAAGGTTTGAGATAGATAGATAGAGAGATGATAGGTATTTCCCCAACCATATAAAAATAGACCCAAATTGTTATTCTATGATGGGCCATAACTGATGAACAGAGAAAACCCCAGGTACAGTAGCTAACATTCATTGTTCAAATATGGACAGAGTCAGAGCAAAGGCCAGAAAGGACAGAAGTATCTAATGGAGAATTAGAACAAATAGTAAGGTAATAATTGAATCTAGGAAATCTTTTTATTGAACATGAAATCTAGATGAGATAATAAATCTCAAACAGAAAACAGCACAGAGTAAAGACAGGAATTTCTCCAAACTTCAAGGAGACTAAAGATAGTGCCCTCTGGTGGTAAGTTAGGATTCCCTCCCTGTTGAGACACTTGTTATTGTTGTTAGGCACCATCAAGTCGATTACAACTCATAGTAACCCTATGAATAGCCAATCTGAACCCTGCCCTATCCTGTGCCATCCTCACCATTTCTGAAACACTCAAGCCAACTGCTGAAGTTACCATTATTAATCCATTTCATTGGGGCTCTTCTTCTCCTTCAATGACTCCCCATCTTTCCAAGCATGATATCCTTCTTCAATGAGCGGTTTTGAAATGCCTTCAAGATCCCCAGGAACTGCTACTGGCTTCTCTAGCTTTCCAGACCATTCTAACATTGTAAAAGTGGTAGTGATTCATATTATGGGGAACTATACTAATCCCTAAAGCGATTCTGTGAGATAATTTAATTAATAAAACATTTCTCTCACAGGATCGCTTTAAGGATTAGTATAGCTCCCCATAATTTAGGTAACTTCCTGAATGTTCAATTAGTAATCTACTTTACCCTTTGTTTTTCTGAGGGATTAAGCCTGTATACCTCATTGCACATATAAGCTCTACTTTCCATGTCAGGAGAGAGTTTCTTTGCATATGGCTGGCACAGGATGGGGCAGGCTCAGATGGGAAGTTTCCTCCTATTACAATTTACAGCCTCAGAAAACTGATGGAGAGTTGCTACGAGTCAGAACCAACTCTACAATGTAAATTTTGGTTTGATATATTGGAAGCAGGAGTGGCATCCACTTCCTAAACAACATGCCTTTTATAAATGAACTTTTACAAATGTTGATAGTTACAGAAAGGCTTCAGGCCTTTTGTTCATAGGGTCATCATGAGTAGTGCTCGATTTGAAAGCAATCAACACACACATATATACGTATTATATAGCTACATTCTGATATCAGATGAAGGGGAGACTGTGGGAAGCAGTTCTACTCTGAAAGGTGGAGTCGTGTGGAATGTTTGATTGGTTTTTTATTTAAGCCTTTTGTATAGAGTCAATACCACTTTCTGGAGGGCATTTGTATTTAAAAGTCAGTTGGGCTCTGCGGGCCTAGTGCAATGATAATTTAAAGGAACATTCTTCTCAGTGTTGCAACACTGGTCTGTCAATTTGCTGTACTGAGGTAACCCGGAGTGGCTGTGATGCTGAACTCTATACCGTTGGGGCACAGAATGCCATAATGGTTACTCATGGTGGACAGCTCCCAAATTCAGATATGTTTGATAGCGGGAGTAGCATCTACTTCCTAAACAACATGCCTCTGGAAACTATGAACTTTGAGAAACAATAGTTATAGAAAGACTTAAGGTCTTTTGTTCATAGGGTCAATATGAGTTGCGCTCACTCACAGCAATCAACAACAAACAACAACATACACTGAGATAGATGATAGATAGATAGATAGAGAGATAGATAGATAGATAGATAGATAGATGATAGATAGACAGATAGATAGACAGATAGAGATAGAGTACCCACTCTGTGCTAGATAAACTGCAATAGACAAATAGGTTTAAATCTTTTCCTACCTACATAAGGCTTATATTCTAGTTGGGGGGGAACCCCAAAAGTATATAAAAAAATAGTGTTTGGGGAAGAAAAGTCACCAAGGTAAGGGGTTAGGGAGTGTTGACCTCCATCCTGTCTGAGAAATGTCTACTGGGAGAGATGCAGACACACTGCCTCGGCTCCTTACTGACCATGGTGCGCTGGTCAACAAGCAAAAAGCCTTACGCTTTCCCGAGATTACTGTGTTCATATTTTTTTTTTGAGGACTTGATACCCTTTATTGCTCTGAGAATTTATGAGGGAGGACCGCTGGGAGGGACCTCCAGGACTAGGGTGGAAAAGCTGGGTGCAGGGTAGCTAATGGACAGTGAGCTCAAAGAGCCACCCACGAATCTGCTAGTCAGCCCTTCCCTCCAAAGCTCAGGAGACTCTGGGGACAGGAAAAGCCAGGGCTCCCTGCCAGGGACCACAACCAGAAACTAGGGTCAAGAGAGATGGCCTGATAGGTCCCAAACACCTAACCCTATGCCAGCTGAGGGCAAATGAGGACAGGAGACTAGATGCTTTCAGAAAGAACTTCCTGTTCTGGGCACTCCCTCCCCCATCCTGAGGGCGCCCTGGATGGCACACGTTTCTAGGCCAGCACACGCCTTTAGCTGCACCATTACTGTGTTCATATTTTAAACTCAAGCTAAGGAGTTTTGGAGTTCCAATTAGTTTCTTGAAAGTGTCAAGTGAACAATTCAAAAGCTGAAGACTTGAATCTCTGCCCTGAGCATCCATCCTCAGGGGTTGATGTGGAGGGCTCAGTTTCACAGGTGAAACCACCAGACACTTGTCACCTACATATTTAACTTGTTTGTGTTTTTTTGAATCTACCTTTGTCCTCCTCTTCAGTCCCTACTGAAGTTAACCTCCTACCTCTCCCCTCAGTGAATTCCTCCTCTCTATATATAATATAAGAGTAAGGACTCTGGTTGCTCCATTGTGGAAATGACAGTGGATACCCAAATTCCAGTCTCCCCACCAATGAAGCTAACTTTATTTTCCTCTTGACTTCCTTAAGTGTACAATTAATGTCATTTTTATCCAAACAAAGCACTGTCCAGTCTCCCATACTCAAAACCTCAAACTCCTAGTACTCAGTTGGCTGGCCCTCCAGCAAGTTTCCAAGACCATAAATCACGAGAGAGGAGATGGTCTTTCTTTTTCAGAATAGCTGGTGGTTTCGATATGCCAGTCTTTGAGTTGGTGATACATCTCTATCCATTAAACCACCACCTCTCTAGTCTCCCAAAAGGAAATAAATTCTTCTTATTAATAGAACTTTGATTCTTCTCCCTAGAAATGATAACACCATCACAGTGGGAACTAGATCCCCTCCTAGATGATCTTATATGTATAAAGGATGATCTCGCAGTCTCTTAGAGTTACTGAGCATGATGAAAATTTCTGTCCCCCAAAAGATTCTTTGAGATTCCTAATTTCTCTTCTCCAGTGGTGCTGCTGAAGGTTGTCCTCATCCTACTCAGTCACGCCAAGGGGGGCTTGGCTTTGGGTTTTCAGATTTCAAATCCCACTTCTTTCTATAAACTCAGACTCGACTACTTCCATGAATTCTCTCAACATGCCATGCAATTTTCACTTA